GGGCGTCCCTGTGGCTGCAGGAAAGCTTGGACACGGCCTCCCAGGGGTGTGTGTGTGTGTGGGGGTGGGACAGGGAAAGGTCTCGCTCCGTAGAAGGCAGCATCCGAGGCAGGCCATGCATTGGGCCGGAGTGGGGGGGGGCAGGGATATTTGAATCGCCCCCTCTCTGGCGGCCATGAGTCCAGGTGGCTTCTGAACACACCCTGAGAGTCGTGGTGTGGCCTGGTCTGGTAATCTCACAGAAGAGGGGGCGGCTTTTTTCCTCTGGCAAGGGAGCCGCGCTGGGGTGTTGTTTGTTTGTTTGTTGTTGTTATTTTTGATGCCTGAAAGTGTGGACCTTTGTGGATTGCAGCCCGATTGGCCAGCGCGCTCGTCTGTGCTTCAGGGAGTGAAGTGTGCAGCCCATGGAGGCAACGGGCAAAGTGCCCGGGCTGTCCCCGTCCCACCCCAGAGGCCGGCTGCTTCCGGGGCTGACCCTCCTGCCCACCCAGAGGGGGGGTTACACAAACCCTGGGGGCTCCACCGCCCTGTCCTGTGTTAGGAAGCCGTCTGGCTCCGAACGGAATGGCTGGGGGATGAGGGGGGCTGGAGCAGGAGAGGATCGTGGCCCTCCGGCTCTCCAGGAATGCTGTATTTGGTGTCAGCCTGGGGGTGGTGGTGTGACCCACTCCTTCCCCCATGATCCAGAGGGAGAGGCCTTGGGCTCTTCTCCCCTTCTGACCCTGACCTGCCGTCACACCTCCAGGCCCACTTGAACTTGCCCTCTGGCTACAGGACTTCCTTCCCCTGCCACCCTCCCCCCCCATGCCCTCCCCTCCCTTGAGTGTTTGCTGTTCCTAAATGTCTTTGATTTGGGAGGCTGTGGCAGCCACTTAACCATCCAATAGTTAATTGGTCCAAGAATGAGATGCCTCCGGTTAGGGGGCAAACGCGCACCTCCTCTTGGTGCTTTGTTTACCCGGGAAATGCTTGCAGGAGACAATACCGGGCTGCGACTCGGAGACCTTTGACCCGGCCTTTTCTCCCGGCCTCCTTGGCTGGCCTTCTGCTCTCATGGAGGGAACGAAGCGGTCAGGGTTCACGCCTTGCCCCACAGGCGAGAGGCTGCGGTGGAGAGGGCATGATGCGCTAGACCAGCCAGAGGCCCTCAGCCCTAAGTGGGGCCAAGGGGCTGTGCGCGGGGTGTGTGTGTGTGTGCGCGCTGTAGGCGGCAGTGTGGTTCTGAAGGCAGAAGGGGATGCGCCGTGTGCCTCTTTCTGGGGTGGAGGCCAGGGTTGGAAGGGGGGAGAGCCCATCTCCAGGTGCTGGGGGGGTGGACAAAGATGGGGTGCGAGCCAGGGGGGAAGCACCTTGAGGCAGGGATGGGGCAGAGGCCCCCCCCCCAGCCCAAGACTTAGCACACCCAGAAGCTCGCTTTGGGATGGTTGGGCCCCTTTGTCTCTGGAGGCCCCGTCTGCCCTCCGGAATGATTCGGTAGGGTGCTGTGCTTGAGGCTGCCCCACGGCAGACGTGTGTGTGTGTGTGGGGGGCGTGTTCTTCAGCTGGAAAAGAGAGCCGTCCCAGGGTGGGGGGCTGCTTCCTGGCTTCCCCCTCTGCTTCCCCCCTCCCTCCAGCTTCAAGGGGGGCTGCCGCGCCCCAGTCTCCTTGCCCTTGGGCTGCCTAGGATCCCGAGGCTGCTGAGAAAGACCAGCCTGGAGCTTTGGTGGGGTGTTTTTTTTTGGGGGGGGGTGTAGGTGGGAGGCCTGGCAGGAAACCCAGAAGGGTGGAGCGCTCGCGAGAGGCTCTGCAGCCCCAGCAGCAGCAGCAGCAGCAAGAATGTGGGGCCCCCCAAACCCCAGGAGGGCCGAGAGGAGCCCTGGCCCCAAGTGCCGCCAACCCCCCCCCAGTGCATTTACTTCCTTCTCCTCACTTTTGTCTGTGCAGTTGTGTGTGTGTGTGTGTGTACAAGAGAGAGTCCTGTCCTCTCCTCAGAGCGCTTCCTTTGGGGCGAGGAAACAAGGGGAGGGGACGGGATGCCAGCCCCACACGTGCTCTCCTGGCCTGGGTGGCTCAGCAGCAAGGTGCCCGTGCCCGCCTGTC